GTTTTGAAGTGAAGCTGCAATATTATAATAACATAAAGTGATGCTGCAATATAATGTAAACGATATATATATATATATATATATATATATATATATATATATATATATATATATATATATATATATATATATATATATATATATATATATATATATATATATATATATATATATATATATATATATATATATATATATATATATATATATATATATATATATATATATATATATATATATATATATATATATATATATATATATATATATATATATATATATATATATATATATATTCTTCTCTAATAAGAAAGCACTATATATGAAAGTGATTTTACACGAGTCAAACATCGGAACATAATTATATTCATTAAATTACATGAAATTAACATATATATATATATATATATATATATATATATATATATATATATATATATATATATATATATATATATATATATATATATATATATATATATATATATATATTCTTCTCTAATAAGGAAGTACTATATATGAAAGTGATTTTACACGAGTCAAACATCGGAACATAATTATATTCATTAAATTACATGAAATTAACAACAATAAAATCAATAAAATATTAATTTCTCATAAAACATAGAATTTATCAAAATCATCATCTCTATTAGAGGTTAAAGACTCTTCTACCTTACCCTCATGCATAAATCTTTTTTATTAAAAGTTATTCTCAATTTTACCTTGAATTGACGTTCATTGAGCTTCCTTACTAGTTTCACCTCACTCTTCTTCTTAGATCGCTCGCCTTAGGTTTTTATATAGTATTCTTTTTTTTTCCAAATTCTAAGTACTGATGGAAAAACTTTTGACCTAACTCTTTTTTTCTAATAAACCTATTTTCTCCTAATTAAGCTTTCTCTCTTCTACCCCAAACTTATTCTCATAATTACCACCCTGACCTTAATTTCTCTACAAAATCTTATTTCTTTTATTTTATTTAAATAATCAAATCAAATCATTATTTTAACTAATAAAATAATTCTTATTTATTTCCTCTTCCTCTAATTACTCTCTACACCATACCATAAGATCACACACCTTTTCTCTCACCCACATTTATTTAATCATTCACATATAATAATTGAATAAAAATATAAAATAATAATTAAATTAAAATAAAATAATTTAATAAAAATGGGGTGTTACATCCTAGGATTGGGATTGCTTGATATCATTGTAATGATTATGAGTGAGAGGGATTCTCATATCTAGGAGGTTCCTAGGTAGAAATTGCATTGGGTAGGGATTAAATGAGAAGTGTAACATGGAATTGTTTAGCTTCGAATTGATACTATTGATAGTTGATTTTCTTCTTGGCTTGATAGCCTCCAGAGTATGTGAGTTGCACGGAATTAGGTTAACAATTACTTGTGTTCTTTAAGTTTCTGCAATTTACTTTTATGCACAATCTTTCTGTTTTTAGCAAGTCTGTTTTTCTATCAACAAATGTTATAACATCTGTCGTGACATTGTATGTTATTGAGACATCATTCTTGACTTCTGTTATTACAAGTGTCAGAATTTTAGTAACATTAATCTAAGAACTTTTAAGAAGAAAATTTCTTCGGCTCATGTGTTCATATCCTCTGGCTTGATACTTGGATAAACTACATATATCTTTCCCAAGTTTCCTACATTTCCTAGACGGTATTGCAAAAATAAAATCTATTTGATGAGTAAGGAAAAACAAATCATAAGAGAAAAAAAATGATTATACAGAAAAATACTTTTTTTTAAGGAAAAACACATGTATATAAAAGAAAGAATTAATTTTCAAAAGATGACAGTGAGTTTTGAAAAAGAATCTTGTGTTGAAAGTCATCTTTCTCCTGAGACGAGGATCACTTAAACATGAGTTAAGCTCTAATACCACTTGTTGAGCTTGAGACTTCACACACAAGAGGGGGGTGAACTGTGTGGTTTGAAAAAACATGATTTTAAAAAATTTTAGAGATTAAAATCAGAGTTTAATTTATTTTTAAAACATATGATCTATCAGAGTTTGAAAAAGGGTTTTCTATAACTTAGAAGTAGAATATTAAAGTATTTTAAAAATAAAGTGCGGAAAGTAAAAGGTTAAGGGAAAAGAAGAACACCATGATGTATAAAGGTTCAGTCAAATCAAAAGGACATACTCCTCTCCCCTAGAACTGTTTTTTGAGAGTTTCTATTATATACTTGAGAGCTTTTAGTAGGTGAAACTCACGAATTACCTTATAGAAGGAAATGGTAGTTTTCCTATAACCATGATAATACAAGACGAAAGATATAATTGTTTGCATCTTTTCCATTGTTGAGACTAAAGTGGCCAATAAACATGGGAACTAGTCACACAATCCCCAACCAAAGCTTTTAACGGGTTTAGCTTCGAACCACATAATTGTATCCCTAAAATGGACTGTGTTAATCAAGGTGCATCAGTGATGGGCTAATTTTTGTACGTGCAAGTGTACACGGTCAAAATAGTAGCAAGTGATAAGAAAAAGTATCGATCCCACAAAGATTATATTAAGCATAATGATTTTCATACAAGAAGTTGTAAAGTAAATATGAGCAAAGGTAATAAAATAATGGTATGTGTCACGTGGTCAAGAGAATGGAAAAATAATGAAAATAATTAAGGCTTAACACAGAGAGAAATAATATGTTGGACAATATTCCATTTAATGAATTCATCTAATGTATGAGTATGATAAGTAATGTCGTGACAAATGAGGTCAGAACGTGATCTAGAGGTGTATCTATACAACATCATAAACATATACATCAAATTAAGGGGACAGATCTCTAAGCCTCGTTTGTAACCTTGGTGCATGTTTGGGTTCATTCTGAATTTCCCCAGTGAGTGTAGCTCTTTATCTCTAAAGTAGCTAATCTAGTGAATATCTCTATCCTACTATTTTCAACCACATTTGTCATGATATCCACTTGTTAAATATCTCACAACATTAACAAGTTGTTATCTACTTCTAAGCTGGCTAAACAAAGAAATAAACATATGGCATAAATTTACATGAACAAAATATATCAAGACAACTCATTCAAACATACAAAAGATTACTAATTCATTAAACTTCAAACTATCCAACAAAACAAGTTTAGCTCATAATGAGTAAAATAAATACAACACAAAGAGATCTTAAGCTACACATTCCTAAGTAAGAATATAAAAATGATAAACTTAAGGATGACACTTTAATCACTTGCAATTTGTTAATCACAAGTGACATATTCTGTCACGCCTCCCCTCGACTTTTCGTCTTCCTTTATTTCACTTCTACAGAATTTTCCAAGTTTTAAAATTTTTTTTATTTTAATTTCATTGCATCTCTATTTATAGAGGTTTCTCAACTACATATTGTCTCTCTTTGGTTCTTAGAACTTTACAATGATCCATTAACTTAAACCCAAATAATAAAGCATATACTTTTATGTTATACTATGATAGTACACTGCACATATGAGATAACATGACATTATGGAAGAAATGAAGCAGTAGCAACAGACCAAAAACAACTTTTTAGAGTTTTGTCTTGTAGTGTTTCATTCTTATACATTCATTTTCTCATTTGTCTTGTTGTGTTTCATTCTTATCCATTCATTTTTTCCAACTCAACCCTACTTTCTTCTCAAATCTCTGCCACGTCAGCATCTACACTGAAGTTGAGAACTCATACAAGAATGTTCAGGATCGAGGTTGCTGGTTGGTGTTCTAGGATTCTAGTCGAGACAATACTCATCACTGACGCTAATTCTGCACATGTACAAAACACATAAAATTGACAAAAGAGAGCACCTAGTGTGCTTTATCGTAAATTAACTAAAGTAACATAAAACATAAATAAATGACATTAACCAAGATATAAATGACCCTAAAATTCAAGTATAAAATGATTAAATATTTCACATAAAGTGATTTATCACACTCCTAAACTTGAATCATTACTTATTCTCTGGTGATGCGACAGATAACATCAGGAAGAAATAACAACTATACAAAATCTTTAAATTAACAACACATTTCTTACAATCATAATTTTTCTCAAAGGACTGTATCTAAACATTGGCATAATTTGTTGTCAATCATGAAGTGTGTGTGTGTGTGTGTGTGTGTTATGCATTAACTGATGTTACTTGTCATGCCAGTACTCTTTAGTTAAGATAGCTAGCCTAAATTCAACTTAGATCATCTTATCCTATGGTCCAAGGATCAATATTTCAGTTTCAGAAGGGGGGTTTGACTGTTCTATATTTTAACTTTTGTACTTTAAGAACACACATGCATTTATTGAAAAAGAAAATTCTTGTAAATGCTCCACCTTTTCACCTGACGGGATCTCACTTGTAATGAGTCCAACCTATTACTAATGTTGAAGACAACTATTGTTCCTCCAGTTTCAGGCACATGAACTTATTAAAAAGATTTGTTTCTCCAGTTTCGGGCACATGAACTTGTTCCCCCAGACACGGGCACAAGAACGTATTATGAAGTGCACTTTAGCTTACTTCAATTACACACTTTTGTGTGTTTATTAGCATATATAGTGTGTCCATTGTACTAAGTCCTAAACAATAGTGTTATCCTCCCCAAACTAAATCCTACAATGAACTCATATTCCATACTTTAAAACAATTCAAATTCTTCAAAAGGCTATCTACTTTTCTGACTACTAGAGGCGCGACAGGGGTTATATAAAAATCACAAGAATGTGCATTGATTTGTTACCAAGATCTTTTTTCCAATATTGTCAACAATCCAATAAAAAATCTTTTGAGATATTTTTGAAATTCTATTGTTTCAAGACTTGGTTAATTATTTTTAACAAACATTAACACACACAAAAATAAATAAAAAATTCATTACTTCAAAGGAAATTAAAATAAAACAGCAGCAAAAAGGTGTCACACCCCCAAATTTAAAGCAAAAACAAGCATCCTTTGACAGAGGTCGCCTCCTAGACAACATCATCCTTTGATTTCAGCTTCTTTTTATTTACTTTTAGGGAGGACACAAAGGCCTTCCCATTTTCATTCTTCAGAACACAATATACCGAAATCTTTAGAAGTGACAAAAATGGAATCTTTTGTGTAGGTGTCATGTCAGAGGTCATCTCCAGCGCTTCATACTTTTCCAACCAAATTGCACCAGTTGGTTTTGGTGGAGGCCTTCTTAGGTCACCTTCCTCCTTGAGTTCTTCTTCCTTCATGAACATAAACTTCTCAAATAACTGATCTTCCTTAGTTTTCCTTATCCTTTGAGGGAATAATGGAGGTGGTATTTCTTGAACAAAAATTCTTGATGCCCTAGATTCTGGCACGTCAGATGTTGTCTCTACAGCTACAGGTGACGTGACAGAAAGACTTCGCCTTCTGCATATTTGGATTTGATAAATCAACAATTTGTGTAACAATAATGGGTTGTTCTATTTTAGCTTATAGAGTGTCTTCTTCTGACATATCAATTGACTTTGGTTCCTCATACGCCCATGATCTTAAAGTAGTAGTGATTTGCCCTATTTGGGTCTCCAAAATTTTTATATTCTCCTCTTGAGCTTGAAATTGTGACTTTGTTTCTTGCATGAATGTTATCAAAATAGACTCCATCTGTTGGTTCCATTAATTGTCGCACTTGCATAAGGAGCAGAACTAGGGTGATTCATTCATTCTCCACAAGAAAAATCAGTGTCACATGTCATGACATTTAATGGTGCAGTAATTGTCACAATATGTGGCATCATAAAGGATATTGGCATGTTGTGTATTTCAGCCAGTTGAACAACCAAAATAGTGGTTTAACTGACCTTCATTCTGCAGAAACTAACTTGCATATAATACTCTTGAAAACCTGTTGTGTCACTAAAAGACATAAAATATTAAATGCTCAAATGTAAATTTTACAAACTTCAATGAAAAATCGAAATCTTGATTAACAATTCCCGGCAACGACACTGTGATACGGTGGCTGAACCGACTGTTAATACCGGTTTGCATTTTGTATTCTCAAATGTTGCAGTAAGAAAGAGTTGCCACCAACTTTTATTTCATCCAACAAAGGAAAAGGAAAAAGAACAGAAAAAACCTTTTTCGAGATGTTTTTGAGTATATGTGGTAGATTATAGAAAGGGAAGGTGTTAGCACCCTTTCTATCCGTGGTTTTCCACGGGCTCTTAGGTACTTGCTCATTTTTTAAATTGCTTGTGTGTGCTTATTTTGAAAAGTTTTATTTACTTCATGATAACCCTTGTATCGGTCCTCAAGAGTGTGACAAAGTTGTTTTGAAAACTGTTTTTGAAAAGTGTTTGTGTGAAAAGTTTTTATTTTGAGCAAGTACTTAAGATTTCTACCTACTCGAAAAAAGTTTGTTCATTTTCGTTTCCTTTAGACAGTGTTATCCTACTTTTAAGGAGTAGGCAGCTCCGTCGTTGGATTTTTAAAGGGACGTTCAAAAGGACGAAATGGTCTCTAAAGGCAACAAGTAAGGATACCTTAGCATTTCGAAGGGACTATCGTCATAAGATCAATTCATAGGCAACTCGAGGGACAAGTAGGGACTATGATCTTTATGATGATTTTGAATCGCGGGTTATTGCTAAGGTATCCCTATGTTCGAGGGACACGACCATTATTTCTGAGGCAACCAAGTGGGGAAAACCCTAGGAGTGAACATGTGCAAGTGTGTTTTTTCTCAGTTAATTATCTTTGCACAATTAGGGTTTTCTATTATATTAATTTGATTTATCTTTCACATGCAATCCTAATGTCCATACATCTAACAGTTTAATAGTTGCGGAAATTAAAAGTGAGAAATTAAAACCCTAGCTATTATAAGGCTTCGGGGACGGAATTACATAATAAAAAAAATGGGGAAAATGATAAATGTGAAATAGTAAACCTAATTAACTATTACAAACTGGGAGCAGTTACAATAATTAATAAAAATAAAGAAAGTAAAGAAGCGCGCGAAAAGTTAAAACAGGAACAAATTAGAACCTAATAAATCTAATTAATAAAAAAATGTTTTTGTATATTTTCTTTATTGAGAAAAAAAATAATTACAAATTGCAAAACCTAATTTACTAATTAATTTTATTTAGCAAAATAGCCAATGTTGAAACAATTAAAAATAATTCATTTTTAAAAATTAATTTCAATTATAAAAAACAAACCTAATTCTATTTAATTTTAATTAGGGAAGGAAAAAAAGTAATTAAATTAGCCTAATTTTTATTAAATTTTAATTATAAAAATGTTTAAGTTAATCTAATTAAATTAATTAATTAAATGCAAATAAATATTTTATGAAAAAAAAAAGACTAAACCTAATTTTTTTTGTAGTTTTCTGATTTTATGATTTAATTAAAAATGATTTTTATTGTGAAAGTAATTAAAATAATAAATTAAAAGAAAAAAAGAATAAATTAAAAGAATAGAAAAAAATGAGGAGATGGGCCTGATGTTGTAAGCAAATCAGGGGGTGTGTTGCCCAATCTGCATTAGGCCCAAAAGCTGGTGGCCCAGGATCTGGCGCCTGATCCGTTGGGGTCATCTTTTGAGAGTTCATGGTAGACCTACATATGCTGAACACTGGATCAGTGATGGAGATGAATATTGAGGACGAGATCAGAGGGCGTGTGGTGGTCCTCAGAAAATAACGTGCACTGGATCTGAAATTGTGATTTCAGAAAATGCAAAAGGCCTGGACCTGGGATCGAACCCAGGTCCTCCCTCTCACATGCCTTCTTCCCTTGCCATCTGCGCTGGTTTGTTAGTCATATACATAATCAAATAAAATTATAATACAAACAGAGATCTTGGCCTAAGAAAACGCGCGAATTTTCAAATGGTCCAACAAGACGTTGCCACGCGGTCTTCTTATTCCCTGGTACTGTTGTTTTAGATGGAAACCTTTACCTACAGTTTCATGGTTGTAACTACAACCCTGTAAATCTCAAAAATTAATACCAAGCATGATAAATCTATTCCAAGCATATAGATCAACTTATTTTGATCTCACAAGTATGATAGTGTCCTTCTTTTGCTCTAATTTTTCCTGCATCACAAAGCCCTAAAATACGACCTCAAACCCTAACAATGGCATTTGTCTATACAAGCATCAAAACTCATAATTAATTATACAGACAGATTCAAAATGACAATACAAACATGAATGGATGTCTTGAAATCATTTATAACGCGTAAACATCCAAAACCAAATTCAAAAATAGAGGATAAACCGTGATACCGTTATGGAGCGTTTTGAAGGTATTGATGTGTGCAATTGATGCTATTAGCTTCAGGAGGTTGCCAGGAATGTGGGTTGATCCTTAGAATGCTCTGAACTGGCCTGTGGAGGAAGATCTGATCTCTACTTTTTGACAAAAAAGTTGATTTTTCTTTCTTGCTTTGGAGGCAGGCTGCGCGTGAAAAAAATCCTTCTTTGGGTTCACCAAACTTCAGTATATGTATTGAATCCAATTAGGTCAATATTTTTGGCAAGAATCCAAAGAATAATGGTCTTACAGTTTTGATTCCAAACTTTCCAAAATTGGAGATTTCCTCTTGTTTATGGCTTGGCACGATTCACTTGAGGTTATACATCTTGCATGACCTTCAATTCAATGCAAAACAAATCTTATTCCATAAGTTTGATTTATTTTGATTTAAGTTGATTTTATTTGAATTTATTTAATTTTAAAATGAATAAAAATCAAAATAAATTAAATAAATGAGTGAATAATGCATGAGGGGTCCCATAGGTCTTGGACCATGCTAGGATTGAGATTTAATCTTGAAAAGATGGACCCATGTGGAAAAAAAAATGCAGTTTTGAGCTTTGTTGACTTTGGGCAAATTTGCAAAAATAGCCAACTTTAACAATGCATATCTCTCTCAATTTTGACCCTAAGAGGATGTTCTTGGAATTTTTAGAAAGCTTAGGATGTCCCCTAAGCAACCTCTTTGGTCTTATCTTAATTGGATCTTCCATGTTCATGTAAGGATCTTTGACCCAAAAAGGTGTTTTTGTTGACTTTTTGGAATGACCTATAATGTCTAAATTCATATCTTTCCATGAGTATATTTCTTGAGCTTGAGGACTGAAGATGAGTTGTAGGTAATAGAATTCTCTTAAAAATGAGCCTTGTATGGGAAATTTATGATAAAGTAAGAGAAAGTTATGCTTGGTCAAAGTTTGGTTGACTTTTTCCCGAGAAACCCTAATTTAGCAACTTTTGAGTTTTGATGAATTAGGAGCCTTCCTTGGGGAATCATGATTAACCCTTGATAAAATGATGGATATCACTTCAAAATGTTGATGTTGACCAAAAATCTTGAAGTTTGACTGCATGTGGACCACAGTTGACTTTTAACCTAGTATAGTTGATTTTCAGGCATTTGAGTAGTTGACTGAGCAAACTTCTTGTGCAAGGCATGAAAATTGACATGGATGATCTTGAGAACATATTAGGACCATGTAGAAGATTTGAGACCTTTTGAGTTCACCCATCTTGATGCAAATGGAAACCCTAGTTTGAGGTTTATTGTCTTAGGAGAGCATTTGTCTGATTAATCCTTGGGCATCTTTGGGCAAGTTGAGGAATTCAATGAGTATGTTTTGAGTAAAATGGGAGGGCAAATTTTGGGGTACAATAACTTCCCCTGTTCAATCTTCTTGAACCTGAGGATGTAGATTGGATGGTCTGTCTTTCATGATCTGAAGGTAGAAGATGATTGAACACTAGAGTGCCCATAAATTTGCACTCGCATGAAGTAATACTGATTGGTGATATCGAGAATGGGCTTACAGATGCCATTTGGGAGTCGACAGAGAGTCGTCGGAGATGGGATTAAAGATTTCATCTAGAAAAGATATCAGTCACATGAGATTTCTTTGCGAGAATTCCTGTACCTGCTATTGAGGAGGACTTCGTCGGGGACTGTTGATTTATGTCCCGGGAAATAGAGTATAGGAGCTTCAGTTGTCCATTACTCTACTGGGGAATTAACTCCTGATTGAGGAAGTGGAAGTAAACTGTATATCTGGTTAGGGTCCAGGCTACACAACGACTTACTCGGGGAATGTGAAATCGACTGTATTTGGTCGGGTCCAGGTCTTACAGTGTTGTAAACTATTGTCTGGAGATAAGAGAGAAGAAACATGGATGGTAAGGTTATGAGAAGGAACCTGGGTCGTAGGGTTACTTCGAAACGAAAGCCTGGATAGTAGGGCTATGAGAAGGAACCTGGGTCGTAGGGTTACTTCGAGATGAAAGCCTAGATAATAGGGCTATGAGAAGGAACCTGGGTCGTAGGGTTACTTCAAGATGAAAGCATGGATAGTAGGGCTATGAGAAAGAACTTGGGTCGTAGGGTTACTTCGAGATGAAAGCCTGGATAGTGGGGCTATGAGAAGGAACCTGGGTCGTAGGGTTACTTTGAGATGAAATCCTGGATAGTAGGGCTATGAGAAGGAACCTAGGTCGTAGGGTTACTTCAAGATGAAATCCTAGATAGTAGGGCTATAAGAAGGAACCTGGATAGTAGGGTTACTTCGAAATGAAAGCCTAGATAGTAGGGCTGTG